CAACACCCAGCTATTTTTTTGTTGCAGGTTGGCCGGGGCCAGGTTGGACGCCACCACCCTTGATATATGGAGCTGGCGCCCTACTCACTGAGCAACAGGCACCGCCCTAGTCTGAGAATTTTTCAAATGTAGGATCCATGTGTTATTAATGTAGTTGAGGTTGTATGATGAAATGGATGAATTGACTGAGACTAGAACTAAAAACCAAATTCTGGAGCTAGATTATTCAGTTTAAAAATTCAACATTGCTGCTTTTTAGCTGGATGATCTTGTGCAAGTTACTTAATATCTCCATGCTTCAGTTGTCTGTAAAATAGACATAATCTAGATCTGCTCTAAGGAGCAAATGAGTTGATAAAATAGAATATACTTAGAACTGACAGTACCTGGCGTTGATAAGATACTGTGTTGGCTATGCTTTTCATGTGTGGCTGTAGTCACTTTAGAGCAGCGGTTCTCAACCTGTGGGTCATGACCCACAGGAACTGTATTAAAGGGCCACAGCATTAGGAAGGTTGAGAACAACTGCTTTAGAGAAACTTTTCCAAACAGTCTTAATATATCAGTTCAACAAAACTTACTCTCAAGGCTTTTTCCTTTTCTGCTAAGCCTTCCTGATGCTAGAAATAGACCTCTTTATTATTCCCTTAAAGGCTGTCCATAATGTAGTTCTAGTCTTTCCTTTTGTGCAGTTTCTATATAAATTCTCTGTTCAAGTTGCATTTTCTTTTGATCCATTCCATGCTGCACTGTGCTGCACTGTTCTTTTTATAAAATTATCTCTAAACCATAAAGGCTTAGAAAGTAGGAGCTATGTGCATTACAACTCTGTCCCATGTTACCTCACAAGGGTAGGCATATAAAGTATTTATTGCTTAATGGGCAGAGATAAGAGCAATTTTTCTGGTTCAGTGCCCATATCACAGTGGTTATGGCATTGGCCACATGAAACAAGCCTGGCAGGTTTGAACCTGGCCTGGTCCAGCTAAAATAAACAACGACAACTGCAACAAAAAAATAGCCGGGTGTCATGGTAGGTGCCTGTAATCCCAGTTGGGCGGCTGAGGTAGGAGAATTGGTTAAGCCCAAGAGTTTGAGGTTGTTGTGAGCTATGATGCCATAGCACTATACCGAGGGCAACACAGTGTTAAGACTCTGTTTCAAAAAAAAAAAATTTTTTTTTTCAATGTTGTGTAACAAATTGAATATTGTGTGCACATCTGTGCGTGAATGTTCAGCTTGTATAGCAAGTTAACAGTTTTTAAAATTAACTGTTAAAAAATTAAAGCACTCAGGAGAAATTTCTAAATTACATGAAAAATCTTACAGATTAGATTTTTTGGAACTGTATGATAGGCAAGATATCACACTCCGTATGTTGAAAAATAGCCCTCATTCTTCTTCTGGATAATTATAGCATTTCTTCCTCTGAAACTATTGTTACTGTATAGCAAAGGCAGAGAGCGAGGACCTCTTGGCTGTGATTGCTCACCAAATTAGTGCTGTGAGAGTAAGAGACTAGCTAAAGGAGGGAGAAGGCAGAGAAAGAGAGAAGCATGCAGTTTGATCTATTAATAGCAATAAAGTAGCTAAAAATGACATAAAACGTATTAACCTTTTGCTGTTAGTGTTGATTTGTGTGAAACAAATATTGTATCTGACATTCCCAAATGTAATTACGTAAAGCATGATAAATGTAAATTAACTGAAGTTTAAATAAAAACCTTTTTTTTTGTATTGAGACAGAGTCTCACTTTGTCACCCTCCGTAGAGTGCCATGATGTCATAGCTCATAGCAACCTCCAACTGTTGGGCTCAAGTGATTCTCAGCCTCCTGAGTAGCTGGGACCACAGGCACCCACCAGAACACCCAGCTGTTTTTTTTGTTTAGCAGGCCGAGGCCAGGTTGAAACACACCAGCCCCAGACCATGTTGCTGGCCCTCTAATCACTGAGCGATGGGTGCCCACCCAATATAAAAAAAACAATTTTATGTCATAATTTTTCAGTCCTGTTCAGCTGGAATTTGGAATTATCCATCATCTCATTTCTGCATAGTTTGTGAATCAAGAGTTTACTGTATTTTGATTCTCATTTTTCTTTTTTCCACTTTTCATTGGTATATATTTGAATATAGAATGGAATGTGACATTAGTTATTTTAAGTATAAGAGAAAAGATCTTATTAAGAGCACATTATAGTGTGGACTTTTCTTCCCTTTTTTTTTATACCAGATACTCTCGATGAATATTTTGAATATGATGCAGAGGAGTTCTTGGTCTCTTTGGCCTTGCTAATAACAGAAGGACGAACACCTGAATGTTCTATAAAAGGTCGAACCGAAAGTTTCCATTGCCCTCCAGCACAGTCTTGTTACCCAGTAACTACCAAACATGAATGTAATGATAAGCTGGCCCAGGTGAGACTCTTGTGTTAAATACTTTTTATTTACCTTTTATACAAGTTTAAGTTCTGTTATCATCTTTATTACATTATAATCATAAGCTTCATATTGTATGTGGTTACAAATTGATAGTAACCATAAAGAAAAAAAAATCCTAATCCTAGACCATGGCTAATAACCTTGGCTCTTAAATAGACTCTTGAAGGCACAGCAAGTAACTTTGCTGATCAGCAGGGAGGTAGGTAGCCTGTCCTTTCATATAATAACATTTAGGACTATCTTTGTTGTTGGGATTTATCTTTTTTTGTTTTTAAAGTCTCAGCCTAGGCTCGTCTACTTTGTGTTCATTCATTTAATAAATTGATGTTATGATTATTTCCCCCACATTAACCAATTTCTCTCTTGGATTCCTCCTTTTATTTATTGTGAGGATACTTTTGTTAGCATTTTTATGTTTTTATATAATACCATTAAAATATTTGGGTAGGTAATGTATAATTTAAGAATTTTTTCTTCTGCTTATTTCTCAAATGTAGTCTAATTTTTTTAATTAATTAAATTATTTATTAACTTTTTCTCATTTTTTGGCCAGGGCTGGGTTTGAACCCACACCTCCGGCATATGGGGCCAGCACTCTACCCTTTTGAGCCACAGGTGCCACCCTGATTTTTTTTTTTAAGAGAGCAGGTTTCACTCTGTTCCCCAGGCTGGAATGTAAGTGGCTCATAGTAACCTCAAACTCCTGGGCTCAAGCAGTCCTCCCACCCCAGCCTCCCAAGTAGCTGAGACTATAGGTGTAAGCCACTACACCCCAGCTTGAAATTTAACATTAAAATATCTTGTCTGGTTTGAGTATTTAATGAAAATAAAATTTTTGATACTTTGATCTTCAGATTTAAGAATTTATCTTTCATGGCAAGTGATGAAATTAACAAACTAAGCAAGGCCAGACCATCTCAGAGGCCTATCAGACATTGTATATGGCTGTTCTTTTTCCACAAGATAAACAAAGATATCCTTCCCAAGAAAATTTATATCATGAATGTTCAGTACTAATCCCTACATTCTGGAGCTTTCTAGTATGAAACCTACATAGCCAAGTCTGAACAAAGCTCTATAATAAATGACTCATTTTTCATACAGATATCTACTTTACAAATTTTCAAATTTAAATGCAAAATTAAGTGGAGAGACATTTTGTTTGTATTTATTTTCTCTAAGTGTCGCCAAGCCAGACGAACCAGGTCTGAGGTCACGTTGTTGTGGAAGAATAACCTTCCTATCATGGTGGAGGTGATGCTACTACCAGACTGCTGCTATAGTGATGATGGGCCCACCACAGATGGAATTGATCTAAATGATCCTGCAATTAATCAAGATGCATTATTATTAGAAAGATGGACCTTGGAGCCAGTTCCTCGACAGTAAGTCATTGAACTTAGTTTGATGTTGTTCCTGGTAAATCAAGCCTTTCATTACTTCTCTAAATTATTTTAATGTATTCTGTCTTTGAATTCTTTTATGCAATAGAATTGAAATATTTAGTTCTTATGTTTAGTATTTGTGACTTCAGGTGACATTAGTAAGTATACTCCTATGCTCTTCAAAGCATACATTCTACCTTTCTAAACTGTAATTATTTTTTACTTGCTGACATTTAGATTATGCTTTGTTAATTTCCTTAGGAATGGTGATCGATTTATTGAAGAGAAGACTCTTCTGTTGGCTGTCCGCTCATTTGTGTTTTTTTCTCAGTTAAGTGCTTGGCTGAGTGTATCTCATGGTGCTATTCCACGAAATATTCTCTACAGGTATTGATTATTTCCTTCATTTCTAAATATAAGTAGATAAAATTTACTGAGGTCTTTCTTAGAACAAGTTAGATAAATCTACATTGAATTAGTATGGATTTTCCTTGTTGCATTAAATTTGACACAGAGTAGTATTTAGAGGACTTTTCAGCTTACTTTCAGGAACCAGTGGACTTGATGATGCTCGTAAAGTGGAAAAGTTTTCAAGGCTGTTAAATTTCTGTAATTACAGCCTGAATTTTTGTCATCTTGGACAATAGAAACATAGGGGCTGCTAATGAAATAATTGTTCTCTTAGGCAGATGACCATGAGATAGTAGCTCCTAATTACTTTACACAGTAAAATTAGCTGAATCCATTTATTTACTAGTAAATACAAAGTCCTTCTTTTCTATTTTTGCCAATATTTTTTATTATAACATTATTTTTTTATTTTTTGAGACAGAGTTTCATTTTGTTGCCCTTGGTAGAGTGTCGTGGCATCATAGTTCCCAGCAACCTCCAACTCTTGGGCTCAGGCATTTCTCTTGCCTCGGCCTCCCGAGTAGCTGGGAGTATAAGCACCTGCCACAATGCCTGGCTCTTGCTCAGGCTGGTCTCAAACCTGTGAGCTCAGGGCAATCCACCTGCCTCAGCTATGATTACAGATGTGAGCCACCACACCCAGCCTATCATAACATTCTTGAGCTTTAAAGCTTAAGTGGTCACATGCTCTTAAAAAGGTCATCTCTTCTAAGCATAATCTGTTGTACCACTTATATTGGTTTAACAGAATGATGTGTGGTAAAGTAGCTAAAAGTACACCTCAGTGGTAATGCAGAAAAGGTAAGTATCCGACTGCTTTACGTTTTAAAAATAACATACAATAATAAGGATATCATTTTTATAATCTATTGATTCCATACCTTTCTGTGTGATTCTAGAATCAGTGCTGCTGATGTAGACCTACGGTGGAATTTTTCACAAACTCCAATTGAGCATGTCTTTCCTGTTCCCAATGTTTCTCACAACGTGGCCTTGAAAGTCAGCGTCCAGTCCTTGCCCAGACAATCTAATTACCCAATTTTGACCTGTAGTATTCACACTAATATTGGCCTTTATGAGAAAAAAATTCAAGAACATGAACATCAAACCCCTCAGGACCTCAATTCTAATGAAGAAGAACAATGTAGTACCAACAGTTCACAGCATTTGTGTAGCAAACAAGCTTGGACCATGGCACCCGAAAGTGTATTACGTGCAAAAAATGGCACAACTACAGAATATACTACCGCCATCAAAAATGTCAAACTTTATGCGGGCACTGGCAGTAAATCTGAATATGGAACATCCCAAACCAATATTCTCAGCTTTAGTAGTGTAGGAGATACAAAGTCACACGAAACATCAGCAAGAACTTTAAAATCATTTTCAATGATTGATTCCAGTGTTTCTAGCCGCCAGACTTCCTGGCAGTCAGTTGGTGAAACTAACCCTTTAATAGGTTCTTTAATTCAGGACCGACAGGAAGTTATTGCAAGAATCGCCCAACATTTGATTCATTGTGATCCAAGCACTTCACATGTTTCTGGACATCCATGTAATACTCAAGAGTCTAGTTCACTTCATTCAAAACTTTTCCGAGTTTCACAAGAAAATGAAAATGTGAGAAAATGTAAAGAAACATTCTCCATTTCTTTCGGTACTTCAGAGATCACTTCCCAGGAAGACATCAATGAGGGAAAAATTCGACTAAAACCAGATACTCCTCGAAGTGAAACTTGTGTTTCTAATGGTCTTTATTCTCATCAGTCTGTTGGAGAGACTAATCCTTTGATAGGTTCTTTACTCCAGGAACGGCAAGATGTTATTGCAAGGATTGCTCAACACTTGGAACACATTGATCCAACGGCATCATATGTCCCCCGGCAGTCATTCAACATGCATGATACCACTTCAGCCCCTTCTAAAGTGTTTAGGAGTTCATATGAAGACAAAAATTTGTTGAAGAAAAATAAGGGTGATTCTCCTGTCTCCATTTCTCATACAAAATTTTCTTTGTTAGGAGACCGCACTGATGGGGAAAACTTAATACCTAATAAATCTTTTAGTTCATTTAAATGTAGTTGTAAAGAAAAATGTTCTTTGAGACCTCAAATAAGAAATCATTGTCAGAACAATTCTAGTGAAATCATCCAAAGTACATGTCGGGAAACACAGAACAAAGCTACTAGTTTATTGACTTCTTTAAATGTGTCTCATTGCAAAGAACATAACATAGATTTGACAGGCAGATTTAAGGAACAAGAAATTAGCGATGGAATTGATAAACAATATTCAAATTGTAATAGTATTGACAAACAGATTTTCACAAATAAGTATAAGGAAAAAATAATAAAAAATGAGAATTGTAACCCAGAATTCTTTGACAATCTCCAGTTTGATAATTCAAAAAATATTGACTCAAAAGTGAAAGTTACTTTGTCAGAGATGTCTGAATATTTGAACAAATGTGAAAATAACTACTCAGATAAAGACTCAAAAAAGCCTAAGACGTGTGAGCAAAATACTCAACTTAACAGCATAGAAAACTATCTCAATAAAGGTAATGAAGCTTTTAAATGCAAAAAGCCAATACAATTAAAAACTGAACAGGATAAGAAAGAAGATCCACCTGGTGAAAAATCTCAAAACTCTTCTCAGAGAAGAAATATAAAAGACTGTTTATCTACATGTGAACATCTAAAAAATACAGAGGTGTTGGTAGGTTACATCTCATATTTCAAATATAATTCTTAACACTTTTTTATGATTTAAATTTTGCTTGTAGGAGATCTCATTATAAAGGTCTAAGGTGTCCATCATCTGTAGAACCCATAGTCGGATATAGTAGACCTTCTACAGAACTAGTATTAACGGCCTTGTAAATAACCTATTCTCTCTCTTTTTTTTTTTTTTTGGCAGTTTTTAGCCAGGGCTGGGTTTGAACCCGCTACCTCTAGTATATGGGGCTGGCGTCCTACTCCTTTGAGCCACAGGCACTGCCCAAGACCATGTGGGTTTAAAAATTAGGGAGCAGTACCTGTTTTTCTTTCTTCTTTGGTTTTTAAATAATACAGCAGTAATTTTTTTCATGATCTATTAGGTCTGTTATTTAGGTCTTTCAGCTTTGTTCTTCTCTTCCCCCATGCCCATCTCAAAGGTCTATCTTTCTTTTATTCAGAAGAACCTAGCTTTTAAATACTTGGTCTGTGGATTCAAGAGAAAGAACACTATATTATATGTATATAAATATTCCTTTGATTTTATATTGGTATGTGGCTTTCAAATATATTTCAAATGAAATATATTTCAAATGAAATACAACATATTTCATTCTATATGGTTATAGAAGACATGATTCTTTTTAGTACTTCACAGGACAGATAGGACAGTTTTGAGGACATTCAGACTCAAAAAAGAATAACTGACATAGACAAGTAGTTATACAAATCTTTTGTGGCTCCACTGGCATCTCCCACTGTAGTCTCTTGTAATCTAGGGCTTTTTCTACTACCTCATAATAATGAAGAACAAATTTGTAGATTATAGAAGTCCCTGGTTCATTTGAATTCTTCTTGGTGCCTTTTTTGTGTTTTTCTATGCTTATAAACAATTGGTGGAGAGTATAAACAGTCAGAAATGAAACTTACATTAGTTTAAGGTGTTGTTTATTAGCAGCCCAGGCCCACTAGAAGAAGTATGCCCCTGATGTAATGCCATTGTTCAATTAATGATTTTAGAAATATCTATAGGGAAATCAACTAAGCTGTTGATTCAAAAACACTTGAGTTCCAGTTTTGGCTTCAGTTTTGTTCTGGAATGACACTGAGTAATAAGTCATATAATCTCTAAAAACTGTAGTCTCCTGAATTTTACAGTAAGATTGATAAATCTTTTTTTGCCTATGTTAGAGTTGTGACAATCAGATGATAGATTTTAAAATATTTTGTAAAGCTTTAATGCACTAAATAAATGAAGAATATTTAGTTAATTCCATTTTATTTGACTTCCCACCAAACCACTTTTTAACTTCCCAAACTCATCAGGCTCAAATTTATTTCCCTAAGCATTATTATAAATTTTTATCTTGATTATATGGGAAAATACTTCTTGACTACCTTGATTCACATCTCCATGGCCTCGGTTCATCTTTATCACTCAAATTAGTTTTACCAGACATTAGAGTTTGTTTTTTGTTTGTTTGTTTGTTTTTGTTTTTAATTGTTGGAGATTCATTGAGGGTACAAGAAACCAGGTTACACTGATTGCATTTGTTTGGTAAAGTCCCTCTTAACATTAGTTTTTAAATTATTCCATGTTTTCAGTTTATATTTTCCTACAGAAGCTCTTCAACATAGGATTTAATCAGATGGTAGATTCTACTTTCCTAAAACTGTAAATGTCACAAAAACCTCTGTTGCCTTAAGAATACTAACTTTTTATGATCCTTTTTGATACCTAAGAGTAGGTAGGAGGCTTAAAGCCTGGATGGTACTTTTTCAAGCCACTAACTTTTGTTTTTTAATATAACCATACACTACTTAACTATACTAAGTGCCCAGACTTAGTATTTTCAGTATTTTACACATTTCAACTTACTTAATCCTCTCACTATCCTGTGAGAAGCTTTTATTAACTCCAGTTTATAAATGAGGACCTAGACTAGAGGGATAGGTCACAAAGCTAGTATTATAAATGACAGAGCCAGAACCCAATATAGTCTTTTCTAATTTTTATTCATATGTTTGTTACAGATTTCTGATCTTTGGCTATAAACTTAACCAACCTTAAAGAATTAGCCTATATCTTATACATGTTTTACATCAAAAACATTGTGCTATGACTACATTATTTATATTTTTAAATTCACAATGTTTCTTATATTTCTATATGACACTTACCAAATTATATTTTCCAGAAAATGACTCTTCCCCCCCACACACACTCGATAGAGTGCTGTGGCATCACAGCTCACAGTAGCTCCAGCTCTTAGGCTTAGATGATTCTCTTGCCACACCCTCCCAAGTAGCTGGGACTACAGGTGTGTGCCACAATGCCTGGCTATCTTTTTTTGCAGTTTGGCCAGGGCCAGGTTTGAACCCACTATCCTCAGTATATGGGGCCGGCACCCTACTCACTGAGCCACAGGTGCTGCCCGAGATAACGACTCTTGGTATTGACATAGTTTTGTTTTAGAACATATATATTAATTTTTTCTACCTGTGGGCACAGTAGTTCCTCCTTACCCACAGTTTTGCGTTCTATGGTTTTAGTTATCTGTGGTCAACTGTGAACAGAAAATAGCTGAGTACAGTTCAATAAGATATTTAACTTTTTTAACATTATATTGTTATAATTGTATTTTACTATTAGTTATTAAATCTCTTACTATAACTAATGTATAAAATAAACTTTGTCATGGGCAGTGCCTGTGGCTTACTAGGTAGGGCACGGGCCCCATATATCAGTGGCGGGTTTGAACCCAGCCTGGGCCAAACTGCAACAAAAAATAGCCAGGCATTGTGGTGGGCACCTGTAATCCCAGCTTACTTGGGAGGCTGAAGCAAGAGAATCACCTAAGCTCAGGAATTGGAGGTTGCTGTGAGTTGTGATGCCACGGCACTCTACCAAGAGCAACAGAGTAAGACTCTGTCTCAAAAAATAAATAAATAAAATAAACTTTATCATAAAGTGTATGTGTAGGCTCAGCACCTATAGCTGAGTGGCTAGGGTGCCACCCATATATACCAAAGTTCGCAGGTTTGAACCCAGCCTGGCCTGCCAAACAGCAATGACAACTGCATCGAAAAAATAGCTGGGCATTATGATGGGCACCTGTAGTCCCAGATACTTGGGAGGCTGAGGCAAGAGAATCACCTAAGCCCAAGAGTTTGAGGTTGGTGAGAGCTGTGACACCACGGCACTATACCAAGGGTGACATAGAATCTGATTCAAAAAATAAAAAAATAAAGTACACGTAGGAAAAACAGCCTTGATATGTACAGTGTTTCATACTATTCATAATTTCAGGCATCTACCTAGGTTCTTGGATCATACCTCCTGTGAATAAGAAGGGGCTATCATAGTAGCTTTTTTAATTGAAATAATCAAATATTAGCTTATTAAATGTTGGAGTCTGAGCAAACATGACCATACATTGATATCGCAATCATAATTTATTTAGAACATTAGCATTTATTCAGCTTATTATAAAAAAAACTTAGATATTGCTTTCCAATTAGTATATGTGTATATAGACATAATATATATTGATATACATATTGAGCATCCCAAATCTGAAATTTGATAGGCTCCAAAATCTGAAACTTTCCAAATGCTAATGTGATATTCAAAGGAAATGCTTATTAGAGTATTTTAAATATTGAATTTTTGTAATTGGGATGCTCAGGCAGTAAGTATATACCGTGTTTCCCCGAAAATAAGACACTGTCTTATATTTATTTTTTCTCAAGAAGATACACTAGGGCTTATTTTCAGGGGATGTCTTATTTTTATTAAGTATAATACAATAGTCTACTTTTTTTTTTTGAGACAGAGCCTCAAGCTGTCACTCTGGGTAGAATGCTGTGGCATCACAGCTCACAGCAGCCTCCAACTCCTGGGCTCAAGCATGTCTCCTGCCTCTGCCTCCCAAGTAGCTGGGACCACAGGTGCCCGCCACAACACCTGGCTATTTTTTGGTTGCAGCCATTATTGTTGCTTGGCTAGCCCGGGCTGGATTCGAACCCGCCACTTTAGGTGTATGTGGCTGGCACCTTAGCCACTTGAGCCACAGGTGCTGAGCCAACAATCTACATTTGTTCAAATACAGTTAAGTCATCTTCTTCTGGAACCTGACAGGGAGAGCTGACCTTGGTGGTGGGGCTGGCACTAGTGATGGTGAACTCCTTTCCCCTAGCTCTTCACACGTGCACAATAGGATGCCTGTGACCCCGGTTTCCGGAAGTGTGAACAGCTTGGAGAAAGGAACTGTGGCAGATAAAAGGTATTCCAGTCTTCCTTACTGCTCCATGCCGAAATGCAAAATTCCTGGCGTGGCTCATCACTCCTCTGCCCGTCACTAGGTCTTGTAGGGCTTATATTTAACAAATGCATAGAAATCCTGCAAGGGCTTAGTTTTTGGGTAGGTCTTATTTTCAGGGAAACACGGTATATTGTACATATTCCAAAATCCAGGAAAATCCAAAATCCAACACTCTTCTGGGCTCAGGCATTTTAGATAAAGGATAATCAATGTGTTTATTATCAGCATCATGACAAACTACCTCAGAATGTATTGGGAATGAGTCTTAGAAACTAAAAAGCTGTACAAGTCCTTTAAATGGTATATTTCCATCAAAGTATAATTATTTTCCTAACAGAGGACTACACTGAAACATTCAAATGTCTGGCGAAAACATAATTTTCACTCTTTGGATGGAACCTCAACTAGAGCCTTTCATCCTCAAACTGGATTGCCGCTTCTTTCTAGTCCCGTAAGTGTTCTTTCCCTTATCTCACGTTAGAATTTGCAGACATCTGAAATGATTACAAATAATTTTGTTCAAATTTTAATTGAGTAAAATTAAAATAAATTTTTAGTTGGAAAATGTCTTATTTTGATAACATTTAACAGTTTACTGATGATATGGAAAGAAACTATAAAATGAATATGAATGAAATTTACTATAATAGGATTATAAAATTTCTCGAAATTCTTTTGCCTAAAATTTTTACTAACCGTCAAAAATAAATCTTGATGTCAAGTGAATTTGTATCTTACTGACATCACCAACTGTGTCACCTGGGGACAGCTTTTTACTTAGAATCCTTTCACTTAATTTAATCATGTTATTTTAAGACATATATAATCTCCTCGCTCCTCATTTATTAATACATTTATACATCAGAGGGGAATGGCTAAATGCACTTCAGAGTCACATTGATTCTACCCCCTACTTGTATGACATTAGATAGATAACATCTGTTAGAACCTCAGTTTCCTCATCTATAAATGGGGTTGTGACAATGATTATTGTGAAAATGATTCATATCATTACTGGCACATGTTGAGCACTCAGTAGTTAATTGGTATGGCTGTCACTTCAGTTAAACCAGTGGTTCTCAACCTTCCTAATGCCATGACCCTTGAATACAGTTCCTGTGGGTTGCAACCCACATGTTGAGAACTGTTGAGTTACACCTAAGTAGTAAATTTTGTAGCAGAACTAAAAGTCTGTATAATTTGCTACTAATGCAAAATTTTTACTGTATGTGTGTTTTTTCGCAACTTGAACACAAAGTCTGGCATGTGTTACAAAAATAATTATCAAGGGCAGTACCCATAGCTCAGTGGGTGGGGTGCCAGCCACATACACCTAGGCTGGCGGGTTCAAACCCACCCTGGGTCAGCTAAACAACAATGACAACTGCAAGCAAAAAATATCCAGGCGTTGTGGCAGGCACCTGTAGTCCCAGCTACTCGGGAGGCTGAGACAAGAGAATCACTTAAGCCAAAGAGTTGGAGGTTGCTGTGAGGCTGTGATGCCGCAGCACTCAACTGAGGATGACACAGTTAAGACTCTGTCTCCAAAAAAAAAAAAATTATTATTATCAAGTAAGGGTTGTAGACTTTAAGTGTATAACTTGGACCTCTGGTATTTATTTAAGAGAAGTTGGAGTCTAAAGAATTTTTTAAAACTCCAAGTATTTGACCTACCTGTGAGTTGTTTTCAAAATGCCAAGTGATCAGGAAAAATATTATCAGCATCATGCTGGTGTAAAAAGCAGTGCATTCTTCTTGTCAGTATTGTGGTCTGAGTTAATACAGGGAGACACTTCTCCCTTTATAGACACAGAAATTCTAAATGAAGTAAAAAAATGTCTAAATATATAATATAGTAAAAGAATAAGCAAAATAAGTCCCCAAGTAGTAACTTGGGGCAAATTATGGCCCTCCAGGATATCTGAACTTAATACAATGCTAGGGTTTAATGTCCCGCCCCAGGGATAGAAATCAAGGCTACATGTCAGCAGCAGTCATAGCAGAGGCCTAAGACCAAATTCTTTATAAAGCCAAAAGCAGGAAGACTGGACTTCCATAAATGGGATGGCAAAACAAAAGCACCTGTTTACTCAAGGACGTGTCAGGGAGGTGTGGAGTAGAAGAAAAAATCCCCCAAAGAAATTGTACCTAAATCTAAGCTACCTATAATGTAGTAGGAGTTCTAAACTTATGCTACCTCTGAGGTTCAGAGAAGTCTAGCTAAGAAATAACTATAACAGGCTGGGCGTCTGTATCTCAGTGGTTTAGTGCTCCAGCCACATGCTCTGGGGCTGGTAGGTTCAAACCTGGCCCAGACCTGCTAAACAGAGGGGAAAAAAAAATGTCTGGCACAGTGGCTCACACCTGTAATCCTAGTGCTCTGGGAGGCCGAGGTGGATGGATTGCCTGAGTTCATGAGTTTGAGACCAGCCGAGCAAAAAGTGAGACCCCATGACTACTAGAAGTAAAAAAATTGAGGCAAGAGGATCACTTGAGCCTAAGAGTTGGAGGTTGCTGTGAACTACAACACCACAGCACTCTACCCATGCCTACAGCTTGAGACTCTGTCTTGAAACAAACAGAAAAAACATAACTAAACTGCAACTGGTGAAATCCATTCAAGACTAGCAGAAAAAAGATTAAACTATCCCACATTTATAACCCAGGGCACCAAGGATTTATTTTTATAGAAAATATCTCTTCAAGATGATCTCAGAGGAAAAATATTAGAAAGCATCTTAAAAGAGCGGCGCCCATAGCACAGTGGTTATGGCAATGGCCATATACACCTAGGCTGGTGGGTTTGAATGTGACCCAGGCCAGCTAAACAGCAATAACAACTGCAACAAAAAATAGCTGGGCATTGTGGT